CAAGCCCACCCCAAGCCCGAGGCCCCGTCCTCCGAGCCCAGAGGAGGTCCTGGCCCACTACGAATCCCAAGGCCTGGACCCCAAGTCAAGCCCACCCCAAGCCCGAGGCCCCGTCCTCCGAGCCCAGAGGAGGTCCTGGCCCACTACGAATCCCAAGGCCTGGACCCCAAGTCAAGCCCACCCCAAGCCCGAGGCCCCGTCCTCCGAGCCCAGAGGAGGTCCTGGCCCACTACGAATCCCAAGGCCTGGACCCCAAGTCCGCGTCCCTGAAAGCCATCTCCGACCTCCAGTCCCTCCTCCTCCTCCGCTCCTCCTCCTCCAGGTCCGCATCCGGCGCGATCGTCGGCGCCGCTCGCGGGGCCTGGCCCCACATCGTCAGCGTCTGGGAGTCTGTCAAGTCCGCTACCAGGAGCTCTGATTAGATAACAGCCGCCTTTTTTTGTTTATTTATTTATGAAGCTGCCGTCGCAGAGATTTCTCGTTGCTGAGCGGCCGATCGTGTTTCTTGTTGTATTTTTTTTATTCGGAGTGTTTTTGTTTTCCAATTGGATTAAGAAAATTACGAGGCGACGGATCTTTTTGGTTTTGCTGCGAAAATAGATCGCATCAAATATTTTTAAGTTGATGGGAAAAAAAAATCATCAACGTATCTGATCGAAGTAGGAAAAAAAATGTGATCTAAATATAATTACTTGTCTCCTTAGCTAATCATTTAAAAAAAATAAAGTATTCATTAAATCTAAAATTGATACCTATTTATTCAATAGCTTGTGATCCAAATAGGAAACTTCGAATCAAATACAGATCAGGTTAAATACGTGGTCATTTTTACCTTCATTTGTTATTTTTGGGCAAAAAAAAAAAGGGAAAAATAAATTCTCCCTCCAAAATAGGCGCGCTTCGATGGAAAAAGCCGAACATCATGATTAATAGGGGTATTTCAACTCAAGGTGTAGAACTTATGCCCTTAGTATCTGAACAGTGGAAGGGGGAGTTCTCAAATTGGTAATATTGTTTAATATGAGTTTTCAGGGTATTTCAACTCAAGGTGTAGAACTGTGCATTAAAATTTTAGCAAATATCTTGATTAATAGGGGTAATAAGTCTACACACATGGTTTGGGCGTATATAAGCAAAAACCCTAGAAAGAATTAGCGTATATTTTCATTTTTTTTATTTGAACATCTTTGTCTCGAACATCATGATCAGGTTTTTTTTTTCTTTTTTCTTGTTTCCTTTCAAATGTATGATGGTGTTATTTTAGTTCACTTTATTTCATACTGTGATGGAAATATATACTTGATAAATTGATGATTTTAAGTTTTATTTTGCTCAACTAGATGTTCAAACTCACCCAATGAGATTTTGAGCATAATGTCATTGTTCTTTAGTCCTGCAATATGGAAGCTGGTTATATTTAACTTTTTATTTTACAGGAAGAAGAAGCAGATGTTAGAAAGATCAGCAAGTTATGTGAATATGCTTCTAAAAACCCACTGCGCATTCCAAAGGTAATATCCAACTCTCTAACTTAATAACTTGAGATCATATGTTTACTTAAACGATTATTTATAATAGAAAAGTTAGTCATTTTGTACCTTTTCGTAGATATCCTATTTTTCCTACTTAAACGATTATTTATAATAGAAAAGTTAGTCATTTTGTACCTTTTCGTAGATATCCTATTTTTCCTCTGAACTATTTAATATTTTGGGTTTTGATTACCATAATTTTTTTTCTTGAAAATTGGAGAGAGATGAAACATGTTATTAAGTATGATCTATTGATGTTCTTCTCTAACCCTTTTTCGTATTACATATTTCATTGATTGGGCTAAAAAGAGGTGGTTATCATGTAAGGTCCAAACATAAGGTAGTTTAAGATATATGTATGTCTAATTTACTTAAGTGTACGTATTGGGTCATTATTCACAACTTGAAAACTTTGTCGGTAAAGTAACATCTAGAAAGGTAAGACATAATTTATATTGTAAGGTGAACAAAGGTTTACACTCATGGATATGTGTGTCATATTGCACTAATTTTTACATGTAAGACAGTAAAGTAACATCTAGTAAAATACGTTTGGACATGCTAATATTTGCTTAGCAAAATTGCCATGCAAATCATAGCCCAAAACACAGGCACTTGTATACATAAGCATATGATGAGGAATTTTTTCTTAATATTTAATAGCATATATAGAAAGATTTAACCTCTTGTGGTTCTCTAGATAAACTAATTTGAGAAAAAGATTAGCCATATTATGCTTTATATTGTAGTATCCCCAGCTCCCCTCTAGATAAACTAATTTGAGAAAAAGATTAGCCATATTATGCTTTATATTGTAGTATCCCCAGCTCCCCGCTAATGGCCAACAGCGTTAGGCATCAAGCAGTCACTGCCGGTGATTCCGTCTGCAGCATATTTTAGCTAAAATATTCTCTTTCCACAAAGAAATTTCACGTTGCTTCAGTCCTAAATTAAGTTGACAAATTAAGGAGAGTATTTTCCATGTAGTTAATTTCAAAGTAAGAATTTCAAACATACATGTTTGCTCAATTTCTGCATTTTTTTATTATCAGATCACAAGTTATCTGGAGCAAAGGTTTTACAAGGAATTGAGAACTGAGCAATTTGGCTATGCAAAAGTTGTCATGAGCATCTACCGCAAATTATTAGTTTCTTGCAGAGAGCAAATGTGAGTTTGTAAATAAGTAACTCTTCTGTTGCTGCTTGCTACTATATTTTAACTTAAGTTACTGTTTAAATACTAATGCCTCTTGTCTGTGAAATACACAGCCAACTGTGGTTGGTAAATTTCTTATATTATATGTTCTATTTCTTTGCTACTGACTGAGATCTATGGAAAGGCTTTTCTGATATATGCGACATTGCATACGTTGCCAACAGAATTTGACTGTTGAGGAAGTTAGATCAACGAATAATTTTTTATTGGTTAATTAGACAAGTTTGAAGTCTCCAAAATCTGCAACTAGATATGTTTGCTGGGCAAAGAGAGGATACTGGTCATAGGGATTTGACCATAAAATTAGGACCCAGAAAGTTTTTCTTCTTGTTGTGCATAAATTTTTCTAATCCAGTTATTTCTTGGAGTATCAGCTATAGGGTATAGGATCGGCAGTGCAGTGTGTTATTGCGTCAAGGGAGTTCAAGTCTAGTAGGCTTAACAACAATTTTTGGTGGATCAAATATAACAATAGATTCCACAATTATTAGGCCTTAATCAATAGGTGAAGGGATTTTGCACTAATATGTAGATAATTCGTAAAAAGAGTCTAGATATAAGGCCTGGGTTAGAATGCAAAGTAGAAATCAGATCTAGGGTGGGACTAGAAGCGGATGAGTAGACATGCGTATAACCTGTTTTATAATCTTCTGATTTGTTGGGGATTACTATATTGTTACATGTTTCAACCATATCTGTTGTCTCCTTTGAGACATTTTCATTTCTAGAGGACATTAAGGATGTTAAGCTTATATTTCCATAAGAATTCCTCCAGCCCATGACAACTTTCCTCAGCTAATGCGCATTACAGTTCAGCTTGTCTGCTCACAAGACCGTTTTCATGATAGTTTCTGGTTATGGAATTTAGAGAACAATGCGTTTGGATTTCACCTCTTATATGCTTGGTTATGCACCACCTGCAGTACTCATTTGATTGCAGTCAGAAGCAAGTTACCTTTGATTTTTTTATGGAATTATAGGCGACATAATTTAATTGATATATATTACTTCTTCCCTGGTTGATTATGATATGCCAGCTGCTTGAAATTCATGAAATTTGTTGAGTGTAAGTTTGCATGTATGTCTATTGTGGAATTTTCTGTTAAATACAATATTGATTTTTGAAACTTCCTTGAGATCCTTAGTTGACGTCTATTTGTCATCTCTATCTCTGATTTAAATTTCCTCTTGCTTTTGCTGTTTCTTGTTTCCAGTCTTATGATATTTAGTATTCCTTTTTATCATGTTGGTTGATGGATATGATGGGCTCAATGTATGACAGGCCATTATTTGCAAGTAGCTTATTGAGCATCACACAAATTCTTTTGGATCAAACAAGACAGGATGGAATTCGCATTATAGGATGCCATACACTTTTTGATTTTGTAAATTGTCAGGTATTGTATGATACAACTTTTAAGTATAGATCTAGTTCTTAAAGGAAATGCACGCTAGACTAAGATTATACTGAATTATTTACACATTCTAGATTGATGGCACTTATCAATTCAACTTGGAAGCCTTGATTCCGAAACTCTGTCAACTATCTCAAGAGATTGGGGAGGATGAGCAGTCACATCATTTACGTGCAGCAGGCCTGCAAGCTCTTTCTTCTATGGTAGCTATCTCAACTTAATATTTTTTGAAAATAAATAACTTAATATTTCTATTACCTTACCTCCTTATTGTACTTCAAACCTTAAAGAAAAGGCATAGTATGGTTTGTCGTTTGTTAATCGCCGGATACTTGTGTGAATGACATTTTTGCTTTATGGACCTTATTTGATTCTATTTAAATGGTACTGTAACAGTTTTGCTTAAAAAACAATAAAGAGAGACCTCAGCTTTCAACCAGAAATATTATTGTTTTATACTGTTCTCAACTTTAAGATCTAAGATAGTGGATATACTACATAAAGAGGTATCATGAATTCATGATTGGTAAAAGTAGGACTTGGGTTTAACTAAATAAGATATTTGATCCATCTTGTTACAAAAAAAATTCATTAGGGCTTTCTCCAATTGTGTCTTATTGTAGTCTATAGTGCAGGCAACTGAGGCAAGAGGAATTTGGGGTACTTTTTCTGCATATTTTTTGTGTGCATATGCACATGCATGAGTACGTTCCCTATATGACGAGTGTTTTTGATATGAGGTTCATTAAGAATGCTTACGGAAGGTGTAATAGTCATGCCCCATTTTCTAGTTTATGTTCAAAGAGATGTAAGGTTGCGCTTGATACATGGAATGCATTGTACAAAGTCTTATAAAATGGTTAGCCGGTGCACTTGATAGCCTTATAAAATGGTTAGCCGGTGCACTTGATACTGTCCTAAAAAACTCACCATTTGATCATGCTGCCTAGCTTAAGTTGTGGATTCTGTACAAAGTCATCACTACTATCCAGTAGGGTATATTCTGTAGGGATCTACTTTATTTGTTAGATATTATATCCATAGCCTATCAGTTCTTGTCTCTCAACATTTAAGTTTATGTTTTAGCTTTCATATCTTTATTGTACTGATGCTTTTGTTTTCTTAATCATAATACACAGATTTGGTTCATGGGGGAGTATTCTCATATATCAACAGAATTTGACAATGTAAGACGTAACTGATTCTTTTCATTTTTCCTCTTTCAGTGTACTTTCAGTTAGATGCATCTTTCCTTCGCCTTAAGTTGTATTGTACATGGTATATCTTGTGAAACACTCAACAATTAGGATGAGTTACTTTTAAGGGTCAATTGCAGATTTCATATGGTAGAATGCATAATCTTATTTTTCTATGTACATCTGTAGCCAATACATGTACTAGCATAAAATCTGACTTCCTAGTAATATGGTAGCATAAAATCAGACTTCCTAGCAATATGGTATGTGATGCATAATGTGAATAGGAAATGAAAACAATACTTTTCATACTGGGTTGGACGTGAAGATCTAATTTATTGCTTCTTGTATCCACCTTTGCTGATTGTTGATTTTGACTCTCAAGTATCACTTGTCTGTCCATTTCCGGTTCTCAAATGTTTAGCACATATCATACTTGTAACTTGCCATGTCAAAGTTTGTCACTTATGCTGTAATGTTCTCTTTTCATCTTGTCAATGGCAGAATAATTATAGTTGCCCATTGCTTACTCATGTCCTTTTCTTTTTTGAGAGAGAAAGTTGAGATATATTTCAATCTTGGCACAACAATTCGTCAAAGAAAGTACCTTATTTCATTTCCACTTAATGATGATAAATTCTCTTTAGTTTATTGCAGTTTACTTATTAACAGGGGCTTTTGCTGAGGCTGACCCTGTTGAGTCGGCTGTACGACCAACTCCACCAGTCGATGCAGCTATAGTCGTTACATCTCTACCACCCCCAGTGACTCGAGGGGGAGGAGGTATAATTTAATTAACTGAGCAAAGCCATTCTTGTAAATGACAAAGGAGAACTGAATTTGACCACGTATGACTTTGTCCTTAGTCTCTTTTTTCTTGCATAGATTATTCTTTGTAGCAATTGTAACTGAATTTCTATGCCTCATTAAAAGTTTCACTTTACAGGGATGAAGCCAAGAGTTCCCATTTTTGGTCCAGGGTTTGTGTACATAATACGGCCAATCTAGCCAAGGAGGCTACAACTGTAAGGCGGGTTTTGGAGTCCCTTTTTCGCTATTTTGATAATAACAATTCATGGTCACCTAAACAAGGGCTTGCTCTTTGTGTCTTATTGGACATGCAATTATTAATGGAGCAGTCTGGTAAGAATTTGCAATGTATATCAAAATTGTATTCTATGTTTGATTGCATTTCATATCATTGTCCTTTGTTTAAATTGACTTGCGTTTTTACACAGGGCAGAATACACATTTGTTAACCTCCATATTGGTCAAACATCTTGATCACAAAGCTGTTGTAAAACAGCCCGACATGCAGCTAGATATTGTCAAAGTTACCACCAATCTTTCCAAGCAATCAAAAGTGCAGATTTCACCATCAATAATTGGTGCCATGACTGATCTTGTTAAGCATTTGCGGAGAACCATGCAAAGCTCGTGCAATGATAAAGACCCAGGGGATGGATTGATCAGTAAATTCAGAATAGCAGTAGATGAGTGCCTCGTTCAGTTATCTAAAAAGGTATTTCTTGATACTCCAAACATAAAATTGTTGCATTTTTCTTGTAAATTGGATACTTTTGTCTTTGGGAAAGCTTTAAAGGCTCTCCAGTAGATTGTACTTGAGTTAATTTAGCATACCTTCATTGTTTATATAATGCACAAAACTACATATTTTTTAAGTAAAGGTGAGTGGATTTTATTTGCTCTAACAAACTTTACAGTTATACTGAGGAATTCCTAGGTTTAACAACTCCAATTGATGCCACAACTAAGAATATTAACAAGGATAAACCAGCCTATACAGTATAGCATACAAGTCATCTCTTATACACTTGCCTACTCAGCTTATGCTTCATGTCGGCTATACTATTATTCACAATCCAACTTGGAGGGTGAGCTTCAGCCTTACAAACCCTAGAGTTCCTCTCCTGTCAAATTCTATAAATGCTAGCTAATAGTGATCCTCTTCTAGCGCTACTCTGCAACTTTCTCCCCTTCACCATCTTCTGAAACTGCTAAAAAATTAGAGGCCAAGCTCTAATAGGAGTTCTTAATTTCATCGCTTGAAGAACAACCCTTAGGACCCCCTGAGAATATGCACATTGAAAGAACAAGTGGTCTCTACTTTCATTTTCAGAAGCACATAGAAAAACATCTACTCTCCTGTAAAGTACCAAATTGATCCATCCACTTTTTAGTTCTAATTTTTCTCAATGCTACTAACCAAGCAATAAAAGAATGTTTTGGGACACCATCTCTTCTCCCACATAGTAAGAAATAAGATACCTCATCATTATGCTCATTGATAATACACCTTTTATAATGAGGTACGGTGCGGTTTTCTTTCCTCCATACAAGCAGTGAATATGATTGATAAGAGTTATCGTATCTTTTGCCTCTAAATCAGGTTGGTGATGGGGGACCAGTACTTGATATGATGGCTGTGATGTTGGAGAATATTTCTTACACAGTGTCAGCCGCTAGGGCAACAGTTGCTGCAGTTTACCGGACTGCCCAGATAATGGCATCAGTACCAAACTTGTCTTATCAAAATAAGGTTAGCCAATTTTCCTACATTTGATAATTGATAGCATATAAGATCGTTATAGTATATTTCTTGAGAATCATTTTATCCAAAACGACATGATGCAGGCTTTTCCTGAATCACTCTTTCATCATCTGCTTGTAGCAATGGTCCATCCAGATCATGAAACACGTTTAGGGGCACACCGTATATTCTCTGTTGTTCTTGTTCCTTCTTCTGTATCTCCTCATCTCTCTGATGCTCCAGAATTAGCCAAGTATGATCTTCAAAGAACACTCTCAAGGACCACATCAGTCTTCTCATCTTCAGCTGCTCTTTTCCAAAAGTTAAAGAGGGATAAGTCCTCTTTTAGAGAAGCCTCCCAAGGTCAAGATGGACAACTAAAGAGCAGCAATGATCCCAAACTTCCCAGATTGCAATCTTCCAAAAGTCGATTTTTTAGTATTAAAAGGCTACAGTCATCTAAAAGTCGAATGTATAGCATGAAAGGCCCTCAATTACCGCCAACTGCAGAACAAAATTTGTCTGAGAACGAAGAAGTGGTATATGCATGAATGCTTTGTAGTTGTAATTTGTAACCCAGCTTCGTTATTTTCCTCTACAACACATCACCAATGCTTGACTTTTCCTTGCATTATATGCAGGACTTTGTTCCCCTCAGATTAAGTGGCCGGCAGATTTCGCTGCTGCTTTCATCTATATGGGTACAGGCCATGTCACCTGAAAATATTCCTCAAAACTATGAAGCTATTGCTCTGCTTTCATCTATATGGGTACAGGCCATGTCACCTGAAAATATTCCTCAAAACTATGAAGCTATTGCTCACACATATGGGTTGTTATTGTTATTTTCTCGAACTAAGGTAAATATGAATTATTTCTAAGCCTCGTAAATTTCTTCTTTTTCAACTTATTTCTGCTTGCATTTTTGCTTTTTCTAGTAAACTGTTCTCAATTGCATTGCAGTCAAAGCTTAATTTTAGTTATACGGACTTCTTTGCTTTAACATTGAAGTAATAACTTTGTAATTCATAGTTCGCCTGGAACGTGGTGACATTCTGTGCCATATGAGTACAACGCCGCAAGTGAATAGCACATTACATGATTCTGTATTGTTTATGATACTACCAACTTATATTCTTTCACAGCTCTATACTGCACTTCTACTTTGAAAACATGCAAGTTGATTTTGACTGATCAGTCACTGACACAATCTATCCCGGTGTAGTTTAAACATAAAAGTTTTTGAAAGTTTTATACTTCGAAATGAGAAAAATAGACAAGTTGAGCGCATATTTTATTGTAGCTTTTATCAAGTTGAATTAATGTCTTAGTGTTGGAGTGCCTGATCTTATGTGAGCTGATCTATGCTGTTTGTAAGCATGATCATGTATTAATACATGCAGGTTTAGATCATTTCCATTAGCAACCATTTGTCTAATTGAATTGGTAGATTTAACATGCAGCTTATAGTTCAATGATTCAATCCAGAGAAACATGTACTAATGCTAGTACCAGTGGCAATCCTTGGATTATGGACTCTTTCTTCCCCTTGAATTAGAGTATTGTTGTTGTTTGTAAGGTGACTGCCTTTGTCTAGTTTTACTTGAATTGGGTGTTTTTTTTTTTTGCTGTTTTGTTTCTTCTCTTATTTGGGTCCCTGTAGTTTGTATTGGATGATAAAATATGAATGAAAAAATCATGAATTTTTACCTTGATCTCCATATCCTTCAAATTTCCTTTGATGTTATCCAAAATCAAGGGAAACACTTTTCTGTGATAAAACTAATTTCCAGGCTTCCCCTTCTGTTTTATCTTCGTTTGCTGAAAAGACTTTGGGGCAGCAGCTGAACGAAGATAAACCTCAACAACGGAAGAAAAGAATAAAGAATAGAACGAAATTAATGTGGAAATAGAATGCTTTTCCATCGTACCAATGGAATGAAGTTAAGAATAGAACGAAATTAATGTGGAAATAGAATGCTTTTTCACGTACTCATGTTTGGATGCAATTTAGAGAATGATGGGGAATGATCGTATTTCAAAATTCTGCATTTTTCTAATTCCTATCCAAATGAGAATTATCATTCTCTACCATCTCATGAAAAATGCTCATTCAAATGAGAATTAATGAAAAATAAGAATGAAAAATATTATACTTCCAAAAAAAAAAGGAGTGTTCAGTAGGATGCAATGAGAAGTGAAAATTAATATTTCATTCTCACTCATTCCTACCTATGTAGGAAACGAGGCACATGTGTAATCAATAGAAAAAAGCGGCTTAAGCGCACAAGAATACCCTATAAGTTTTTAAAACTGACACTTGAATGCCCTAAAGTTTTTTTTTTTGCAATTAAATACTCTTCAAGTTTGCACAACTAAGGGTATTCAAGTGCAAGTTTAAAAACTTTAGGATGGTTAAGTGCAACTTTTAAAACCTTTTGAGTATATAACCGACGCAGCTCATGCAGAGAAGGGCAAAATATAGGGTATTTAAGCCAAAAACAAAAGGCACACAGCTCATGCAGCTTGCTGTCACTTTTACAGAAACACATACCATCCAAAATACAAGGGTGGAGATTGCTCATGACAACTCATACAAAGATTCAAGAGCTCCCAGATGCTGATGGTGTTGGAACAAAACCGGGGCCCAATAGAGCAGGGTCGCAGCAATAGAAAAGCAAAAGTAGAGATAAAATGATAGACACACAGATTTACGTGGTTTGACACTTGATTGCCTACGTCCACGGGCAAGGATAGAAGAATCTACTATGAGGAGAAAACTCTGGAGTTACAAACTCTCTCTCTTTACAAGGAGAAACTCTCTCTATTTTTTCTCTCACTCTTCTTATATAAGAAGTTGTTTCTGGTCTCTATTTTTTCTCTCACTCTTCTTATATAAGAAGTTGTTTCTGGGATGAGATTTCCTTAAGGATTTGAAGTCTATTTATAGGATTTTGAAAAACACTATGCATAATAAAATAATAATAAATTACTATGCTATGGGGCCCGCCCTTTTGTTTTCTTTTCCTCTTTTCAACATTTGTGGTTGTGCACTTTCGGTGGGTTTGGAATATTAGGCACCTGACAATCTCCCACTTGAAGATTTGATTGAGCATCAATCATATCTTCACATCATTTTTTCTATCTTACCATCTTCATGTTGCTTACGTCTCTGAACGACCACAAGAGGATGTCAGTACTGACTGCTTTGGTCAAAAAATCTGCTAGGTTGTCTTTGGTGTGAATTTTCTGCATATCCACTGTTCCTTCTTCCACTTTCTCACGAATGAAGTGATACTGAACTCGAATGTGCTTGGTCTTTGAATGAAAGGCTGGATTTCTTGCCAAATGCAAAGCACTCTGACTGTCACAAAATAAAGATATCTTCTTTTGTTCATAGCCGAGTTCCTCCAGCACCATCTTCAACCACATCGCTTCTTTACTAGCTTGTGTAGCTGCTACATACTCTGCTTCTGTTGTTGAAGTAGCCACAACTGACTACAGTTTTGAAACCCAGCTTACAGCTCCGCCAGCAAGTGCAAACACATAACCTGTGGTGGATTTGCTATTATCACGATCACCTGCATAATCAGAATCAACATATCCACTAACAGTAAAATCAGATCCCCCATAACATAATGCAACATTTGAGGTTCCCTGAATGTATCGTAGAACCCTCTTTACAGCATTCCAATGCTCTTTACCAGGATTCGCCATGTATCGACTAACCACTCCCACTGCTTGTGCAATGTCTGGTCTTGTACAAATCATCGCGAACATTAAGCTTCCCACTGCTGATGCATACGGTACTCGAGACATCTCCATCCTCTCTTCTTCACTGCTAGGACTCATACTGGAGGATAACTTGAAATTAACAGGAAGTGGGGTAGAAATTGACTTACAATCTTGCATGTTAAAGCGTCGCAAGATTTTCTTCAAATAGTTCTTCTGAGAAAGCCAAATCTTCATATTAATTCTGTCTCGGTAAATTTGCATCCCTAGAATCTTGTTTGCAGATCCTAAATCCTTCATTTCAAATTCCCTAGCCAACTGAGCCTTTAATTCTTGGATACGATCTTTGTTGGGGCCTGCAACCAACATGTCGTCATCATACAATAATAAGATAACAAAGTTATTTTCACCAAACCTCTTGAAATATGCACAAGGGTCTGAATTAAGTCTGTTGTATCCAAGGCTCATGATGAATGAATCAAATCTCTTGTACCAACACCTCGGCGCCTGCTTTAGACCGTACAGAGATTTGTTCAATCTGCAAACCAAGTTCTCTTTTCCTTTTTCTTCAAAACCTTCTGGTTGGAGCATGTAAATTTCTTCTTCAAGATCTCCATGAAGAAATGCTGTTTTCACATCTAGCTGCTCTAGATGTAAGTCAAATATAGCGCTCATAGCCAGGACAATTCGGACTGTTGTTAGTCGAACTACAGGAGAAAATATTTCATTAAAATCAATACCTTCTTTCTGAGCATATCCTTTTACCACCAATCTAGCACGATACCGCTCCACTTGATCATCGCCATTTCGCTTGATCTTGTAGACCCATTTGTTTCCAATGGTCTTTCTTCCTTGTGGCAGTGACACAAGTTCCCAAGTCTTGTTCTTATGGAGAGCTTCAATTTCTTCCTGCATTGCTGCCATCCACAAAGATGCATCTGTGTCATTTATAGCTTCATGAAAAGTTGATGGCTCTCCATCTTCTGTTAGAAGACAATATGCAACATTACTCTCCGTAATATACTCCGAGTGCCAAGTCTGTGGTCTTCTCTCACGAGTTGACCTTCGAACTTCTGGAGCCTCGGCCTCGACTGGTTCTTGTACATCATGCTCCGGTGTCGCTTCAGAAGAATTCGGATTATCTTCTACCTGAACAGCTACAGTCTCTGAGTCATTCCTCGAACTGCTTTCTTTCTCTTCACTTTGTAGTTGGTTCTCTACAAAGATAACATCTCTGCTGATGATAACCTTGCGGGTAGTGGGATCCCACAGGCGATACCCCTTTACTCCATCAGCATACCCCAAGAATATGCATTTTCTGGATTTTGAATCCAGCTTTGTAATTTCTTGGGCATTGTACATTACGTACACTGGACTTCCAAATATATGGAGGTTGGAATAGTCAGCTGGTTTGCCAGTCCACATCTCCATCGGCGTCTTCAATTGTATTGCAGTTGATGGAGATCGATTCACCACATAACAGGCGGTTTTTACTGCTTCCGCCCAAAAGACTTTTTCCAGATTTGCAGTAGCCAACATAGCTCTTGTTCTTTCCAACAGAGTTCTGTTCATCCGCTCCGCCACTCCATTTTGTTGAGGAGTATAAGCCGTACTGAATTGTCTTTTGATGCCTTCTTGCTTGCAGAATGCTAGGAATTCACCGTCTGTGTATTCTCCTCCATTATCTGACCTCAAGCACTTGATCTTCTTTTCAGATTCAAGCTCGACCCGCGCTTTGTAGGCTTTAAAGACTGAGAACACATATGTCTTCTTCTTGATAGGATACACCCAATATCTCCTGGAGTAATCATCAATAAAGGACACAAAGTACTTTGCTCCTCCTAAGGATGTAACTGGTGCTTGCCATACATCAGAATGAACCAGTTCCAGAATAGCCTTGCTTCTAGAACTCGATGTGTTGAACTTCAGTCGATGTTGCTTGCTTGTAACACAATGCTCGCAGAATGGAAGAGCTACCGAATTAAGTTCAGGAAGCAGTTTCTGATCGGAGAGAACCTTCAAGCCTTGTTCTGACATGTGGCCTAGCTTGTGATGCCACATCATGGTTTGTTCTTCTCCACGGCTGGTTGATGCCATACATGAATCAGCTTCCTGCAGAGTCTCTCCCTTGAGCATGTACATATTTGCAGCTATCTTTTCTTCTTTTATCACCACAAGCGCCCCTCTAACAATCTTCATGACTCCATTTTCTATATGAGTCTTGCACCCGAGCTCATCTAATTGTCCCAAAGACAATAGATTCTTCTTCAAGCCCTTCACATGTCGCACATCTTGAATGGTGCGTATTATACCATCAAACATTTTGATTTTGATAGTACCAATACCACAAATCTCTAAGGCATGATCATTCCCCATGAATACAGATCCTCCTGAGATAGGTTCATATTTGTGAAACCAATCTCTCCGAGAGGTCATGTGCCAAGAGGCTGCTGAATCTAGAAGCCAGACATCAGCAAACTTCTTTCTGCCTTCATCAACAGTGGTTGCTCCACTGAATAGAATTTCACCATCCTCTGACGTGCTGACAACGCATCCTTGAGATGTTGATGGCTCTGAAGACTTTTTATCTCCACTCTTCTTGTTGTGCCAACACTCCGATTTGACGTGCCCTCTTTTGCCACAGTTGTAGCATTTGATATTCTTCTTACTTCGTGATTTCGATCTACCATGGGCATGACTCCCACTGGAGCCACGTTCTGTTGATCTTCCTCTCGTCACCGACAAGGCCTCCGCTTGCTGCGAACTTGTCTGCCTGTCTTCCTTGTTCTTGCGCCGATTTTCTTCCTCCAGAACAGCGGCTGCAACATCGTCGAAGACTAGATTGTCCGTGAGGACGTTGTTCGTCAGGTTGATGATGAGTTGATCATACGAGTCAGGTAGACTCTGAAGTAGAAGTTCTGCACGTTCATTCGCACCAACTGTATATCCCAACGTTGTGAGTTGGGAGAACAGTGTGTTTAGGGTGTTGATGTGGTCGGTCATCGATGTAGATTCCGCCATCCTCAGAGTGTAAAGTCTCCTTTTTAAGAAGATTTTATTGTGCATGGATTTCGCCTCATATAGCTTTGTTAGAGTATCCTAGATCTCCTTTGCTGTCTTCTTCTCCTCTATGCTTGACAGTACCCCGTCTGCTAATGCCAGATGGAGATTTGCAATAGCATTTTCGTCCATCTCATTCCACTTCTTATCATCTGTGATATCATCCGGCCTTGCACTGATGGCCGCCAGGCAATTATCTTTTCTCAAGATAGCCTTTATCTTCAACTTCCACAGTGAGAAATTACTCCCGTCGAATTTCTCGATCTTGAACTTCGCCGCCATTGCTTCTACCACGAACAATAACTTCTTACTATTTCACGTAAATAGTACTATATTTATGAACAATAACCATATACGTGAATAGTACCGTACTTGTGAATAGTACCGTATTCGTGAACAGTACCGTACTCGTGAATAGTACCCATCGCCTCCAAAGGGTAAATGATAACCTAACTTATTTTATGATGTGGAGGATCCACCTTTGGTGGCAGCCACAGAGCATACGATAAGTAGATATATACAAGTACCCTAAGTTGGCTCTGATACCACTTGTTGGAACAAAACCGGGACCCAATAGAGCAGGATCGCAGCAATAGAAAAGCAAAAGTAGAGATAAAATGATAGACACACAGATTTACGTGGTTCGGCACTTGATTGCCTACGTCCACGGGTAAGGATAGAAGAATCTACTATGAGGAGAAAACTCTGGAGTTACAAACTCTCTCTCTTTACAAGGAGAAACTCTCTCTATTTTTTCTCTCACTCTTCTTATATAAGAAGTTGTTTCTGTGATGAGATTTCCTTAAGGATTTGGAGCCTATTTATAGGATTTTGAAAAACACTATGCATAATAAAATAGTAATAAATTACTATGCTATGGGGCCCGCCCTTTTGTTTTCTTTTCCTCTTTTCAACATTTGTGGCTGTGCACTTTCGTTGGGTTTGGAATATTAGGCACCTGACAGATGGTACATCACCCTGTCTCCAGACCTGAACTTGAAACACATCTGAATGTACAAATAGCTAGAACTTCGTTCCTTGCTCTGGTTTTCGTCTGCTAGAAATGAAGAGCTATCTAAGTTCCTATACCCCATGACCACATGATAGGAGTAGAGACATTCTGTGGTGGCTGGGGAACCATACAATGTTGCTGCCGTTGATGAAAACCTTCGATTGCAGTGTTGCCATCAGTTTGACATCCAGATTCCTCGACTTCCATCGATGCACCGCCGGTTCCTTCTTCTGCTTTCATTGTTTCCTCTATTTGTATCCCTCCTCCAGATTCTGAGATGATCAATGAAGAGGCATGGGATGGCGCCCAGGGAATAACGGCGAGCGAGTTGTTAGCAACAGCTTGTTTATCTTCAGGCATTTCCTCTGCTGTTACAGCACGCAAAGCTTGATCTGCACAAAGCCCCAGCACATCAGTTAACTATAGTGCCTATGTTTTTTTTATCAGAACGAAGATAAAGGAGACAGTAAGCAAGTGCCAGCTTTGAGAATTTAAAACCGCAATTACAGTTTTATTGAATACATAATTTGGGTAACAACAGTGTATACTTGGACAAACCATTTTAC